CAAGTCCAACATCGTTGATGACTCTTGGGTTTACACTTGTCCTCATCCTTCTCCTCCTCCTTCTCCTCCTCCTCCTCCTCCTCCTCCCCCTCCTCCTCCTCCTCCTCCTCCTCCTCGTCCTCCCCCTTCTCCTCCTCCTCCTCCTCCTCCTCTTCCTCCTCCTCCTCCTCCCCCTCCTCCTCTTCCTCCTCCTCCTCCTCCTTCTCCTCCTCGGGCCGCCTGCGGCCCCGGGGGAAGACCGTCCAGTCTGGGGAGCAGGGCGCCTCTTCTTGGATCTCCCTGCTTGCAGAGTGTTTGGGGTGGATCTATGCGCTTGGATGCTGCTTCGATCCCACTTCTATCTCGGGTATCTATCATTAGAACTGGTACGAAACACGCTGAGTGTTTGCTATCCTGTCTAAGTGGTTCGCATGGTTAGGCTAAACAGGCGACCCGCTTGGGGCATCTCGAACCAAGTTAGAGTCAAGGTTAGCTAACCCGACCCCCTTGAGCAATGACCCTCTTGAGGCCTCGCCCAGACCCCCTCGAGCAATGAACAAATCATGACGGGAGGTTTTTCCTAATTTTCGGCCTCCGGGCTTACTGCAGATGAAAAGCCAGCGCCTGCTAAGAAGCAGCCTCCTAAGAAGCCTTCGTCCCCCGCTCCGTACACCGCCCAACCTACACGGACCCCCTTTGAGCGACAAAAGAAAAAGGGATCGATTGCGCCGACGTTGGCGCGTGAGTTGCCCGCGTAAGGTCGCGCGCAAACGCCCTCGTCTCCAATGTAGCGTACCGCGCCGGCGGCCCGCGTAAGCCATGGCGCAAGGTCGCCATGCCATCTTGCGTACAGTGGAGACCCATGCCAAGAAGCACCCTGCTTGCCTCCAGGGTGCCCTGGGTTTCTTGGGTTTCGATGGTTTTGCTGTGGAGAGCGCGACGCTCCCACACCAAAAATCCGAAGAATGTCCTCTGGGGTTCCAGGGCTGGCTTTCTTGTGGAAGGTTCCTTGTGGTCGATCCCCTACTGCAAGACCCGTTTGTTGGCGCCGCTCATGTTCAAGCAGTGGCGAAGCGACTTGGCGCGCCTATAGGCCTACCAAGCAATGTTCTAAGAACCTTTTGTGGTTTCCACGAAATGTTATTCGAACAGTTCTGGCCGGGACTGTCTTGCTTTAACGCATCGGGCTTATGTTCTAGGAACCATGTTTTTGTTCTTAAAACCTTTTTGGGTTATGAGAAGATGTCGTGGCAGGCCTATAGGAATGCCGGGACGGTCGGTCCCTGCTCAACATGTGTTCGGATGCAATTCTTGGGAGGCTAAGTTCTGATTTTGCCTTCGTCCGAAACCCGTCTTAATCCCGCTTAATCCCGTTCAATCCGAGGCCCACTTTGGCGTAACAGCCCCCAATGGGGTTTGATATTCTTTAATCTTTCCGAGGGAAACCTCCCAGTAGCCCAGTAGTTGCCTCCTAACCTTTTGGCATGTGTTCCAGGTTGCCAGCGCCATGTGTGACACTGCATGTGCGCGGGCCCTCTCACGCCTGTTGGAAGGTCCACATCTCCCATGTGCGTTGCCGCGGAGCTCGGACTGAAGGCGCGCAGCGTGCTCTCCCCGCTCCACCGCATGCCCCTCCCGACGAACACCTCCCAGCAGCTGCCTCCTGCTTGGCATCGCTCGCACGTGTGCATTTGTCCTTCGGCGAGGGCCATCGAGGAGCATCCTTGATCCCCTGGCGAAAAAACCGCGCACGAAACCGAAAAAAAAACACAGGGCATGGACGTCCGAGCGATGGCGAGCGCCCTCCTCGAGGCCCGCCGCCTCCGCAGGGCGCTGCACCCCGGCGGCGCGGGCGGCGCCGGAGGGCCCCCGCTGGGCGCCGCGCTACGGCACGGCCCCCCCGCCCTGCGCGGGGGAGCCCACGCCCTTAGTGGGCCCTGGAAACGACAGGGCCGTTTTGTCACCGGTTCCGTTCTGCCGTTTTTGTTGCCGGTTCCGACGCCGTTTTTGTTTCCGGTTCCGTCGCCGTTGTTTGACCGGTTCCGGCTCCGGTTCCGATCCTGGGGCCGTTTTTTTTGCCGTTTCCAGTCGCCGTTTTTTTGCCGTTTCCATTTTCAAGGGACATGTTTTTGGAAACGGTGAAAAAACGGCCCTGCCGTCTCCGAGGCCCACAAAGGCCCACGCCCCAGACCCCCCCTCGCGAGCAATGAGAGAAAATCTGGACGGGAGGCCTTTCCCAATGTGCGGCCTCCGCGGGGGCCCTCGCCGGGCCTCGCGGGAGCGCCAGGAAACGACTCCTATGGGAGGAAAGGCCGGTCCCGGGGAACGGCTGGGGCCTTCTGGGGGGTCGACGTCTTGAAAACATCATTGCAGAGATCCGATGTCGTGATTTTTTCAATGCGCGGTCCCTGGAAGTCTCGACCCATTCCCCAGGACCAGTTTTTCATCCCGGGTCGTTTTTTGGCGGTCCCGAGGCCCGGGCCCCCAGGGGCCGAAATTGGCAAAAAAAAAAAACGGCAAAGCAACCTAACAGCGATGTGTAGAAGCATATTTGAAAGCATTCCCCTTAAGATTCAGATGAAAATCCAGTTGTCGAATTCTGCTGTTCTCGCAGTCGTAGTCGCGTTCGCGATGACAGTCGCAGCGGCAACGGCAGTCGCAGTCACAGCCTCAGCCTCAGCCTGCCTCAGCCTCAGCCTCAGCCTGCCTCAGCCTCAGCCTGCCTCAGCCTCAGCCTCAGCCTGCTTCAGCCTCAGCCTCAGTCTGCCTTCAGCCTCGGCCTCAGCCTCAGCCTCAGCCTCAGCCTGCATCAGCCTCAGCCTCAGCCTCAGCCTGCCTCAGCATCAGCCTGCCTCAGCCTCAGCCTCAGCCTGCCTCAGCCTCAGCCTCAGCCTGCTTCAGCCTCAGCCTCAGTCTGCCTTCAGCCTCGGCCTCAGCCTCAGCCTGCCTCAGCCTCAGCCTGCCTCAGCCGCAGCATCAGCCTGCCTCAGCATTCAAAATGTGGCCCAGGAATGGAGTTCTGGGAACTAGAAGAACACGAAGTGGCCTACAGTTGGCTCCGGGCATTCAAAATCATGCCCAGGAATGGAGTTTTGGGAACTTGAAGAGCACGAAGTGGTCTACAGTTGGCTCCGGGCATCCAAAATGTGGCCCGGGAATGGAGTTCTGGGAAATCGAAGAGCACGAAGTGGCCTACAGTTGACTCCGGGCATCCAAAATGTGGCCCGGGAATGGAGTTCTGGGAAGTCGAAGAGCACGAAGTGTGTGACTGTTGGCGAAAAGCGAGCCCGGCTCTGTTCCCGGTTCTCCAGAATGTGTCCCGGGAGTGGAGTTCTGGGAGGTCGAAGAGCACGAAGTGTGTGTTTGTTGGCGAAAAACGATTCCCGGTTCTCCTCCCCGGCACCCGCCCAGACCCCCTTGAGGAGTCATGATGCTCTCTTTTGACCTTACTAGAAACCTATCAGCAAAAGCTGTTAGGTAAAAAAAAAAAAAACTCCGTCTTGATTTTTGTCACTGCGTTGGATCTCTGGGGACGCCGCCGCGGGGGTCTGGGGCGGTGGCTCGACGACCTTCCAGGGCGCGCGCGAGCCCCATCGGTTTTTGTGCCCCGCTCCGCCGCCCCATCGCCCCCCCAGCGGTCTTCCCCCTCCCGCGGCCGCCTCCTCCTCGGCTCGGCTCCTGCCGTCGGGGCCCTGCAGAAGGAGCCCTTTTCGTTGGGGAGGGGCTCCGCGTTCCTTATTTCGGGCCGGACGAAAGGGGTTACGAAATTAGCTGCATGCAGCTGGTTTCGGCCCCACCGAGGAGCCCATTCCTCGATACATAAGCGCCTCTGGCGCCGGAAGGCGCCGGGAAAATCAGCTACGTGAGCTGATTCTCCAAACCCCCTTTTGCTATCCCCCCCTTTCGCCCGACCCGATTATTTGTTTCGCAGCTTGCCTTGGATTTTCTTCAGGTTTTCGATGCGAAATCGAAGCTTTAACTTATGGGAAATAGGGGCCTCGTTCCTTCTTATTTCGGGTTCCTTGGGTCAACGCCCCGACTCTGCTCTCCTGCATGTTCCGGGCTCTTCGCAGTGCCGCCTCCCAGCTCGCGGCACGCGCGTGCGGACCGGCTCTGCCGCGCCGCGACCTGAAGCAACAAGCGTGCACCCCGTTCCGCTCCACCGGGACTTCTTGAGGGTCGGGGGTGACGTTGAGGTGGTGCGGCGTATACTTGTTCATCCGCTTCCCAGGGAAACAACGAAAAATGTGTACACCAGGGTCCCGTATACACCTGCATCCGCTTTCCTGTGCAAATTTCATTGCAGGGCCGGGTGTCGGACAAGCAACGCCGTAATCATAAATTGTCGAAAGGCCGCGCGAATTTCTTGGATTCAAGCAGTGGCGAAGCGTCCCGGCTCGCCTATAGCCCCACCAAGCAATCTTCTAAGAACCCTTTGTGGTTCCCACGAAATGTTCTTAGAACATTTCTGGCTGGGATTGTCTTGTTTTAACAGATCAGGTTTATGTTATAAGAACCTTGTTGTTGTTCTGAGAGCATTTTTGAGTTGTAAGAACATTTCGTGGTATGACTATAGGGATGCCGGGACGGTCGGTCCCTGCTCAATTGGATGGGCGCTGGACCCGCCTCCCCAGCGCGCTTCGCGCGCCCGGGACGGCGCAGCAGGCGCCGCCAGCAGGGGGGCCCCGCGCCGATCCGAGAAATCCGCGCGGACCTCCGGCGGTTTCTGCTTGTTTGTGCTTGTCTTCTTCCTTCGATTGGCCTTGACGTGAGGCTCCTCCTTCTGCCCCCCCCCCCTCAGTCAATTAGAGCTGTGCGCGGCCCGCTTAGCTTCGACCGGAAGAGGTGCGCTCTCGACCCGCGGATCAAAACAAAAAGCATGTTCCTTCGAGCATCGGCGGCGGCCGCAGGCCTCCCAGGCGCCCGTGTGCGCTCTTGCTCCTGTTTTGTAGTGGGCGTCTCCGAGGCAAAGGCCGCAAGCCCGCGTCTGCTTCCCCGACTGGCGCTCGCGCGCGCTCCGAGGCGCCTCGAGCGGCGGCGCAGCGCCCCGCCGCCCCCCGCATGCCATGTCGTGGCTGTCCACGGTGGGCGCCGGCGCGCAGGCGCTGCGGCAGGGCGCGCGGCAGGCGGGGATGCGCTCTGCGCCCCTGTCTGTGCGTGCCGCCGCCGCGTGCAGCCCGACGTCGGCGGCGACGGCGTCGGCGTCGTCGTCGGCGGCGGTGGCGTCGGTGTCGGCGTCGGCGTCGTCAGCGGCTGCAGCGTCGTCGGCGCCCGCCGAAGTTTGAGGCTCGAGGCCCGGGTCGGTACGATCGAAGTGGGTGCGGAAAGCACGGGGACGAAGACCGACAGCAGACCTTGTTTACGTCGACAAGTGTTTGCTGTCGGTGTCGCCGCGGACGTTACACAACTTGGGACAAGAAGTTGCTTGTCCAACCGCGGCCGCTAGCGGTTTTGGATAACATTCGCTGTGGTGCATGGTGCCCATTTCTTTTCGTACCTACTTCGGGCGTCCACACCGTAGGCTTCTGGGGACCTCCGAGGTTCGAGGAGCAAGGTTGTTGGACGTCTTGGGGCGTCTCCGTGCCTCCAGAGGTGTCCAGGGACCTCCAGAGACCTCACTTCGGCAGGTCTCCAGCGGGCGTCGCTGCCGCTGGCGTCGTCGTCGACGTCGTCATCATCGTCTTCGTCGCTGTGCCGCCGTCGTCATTCTCGTCCTGGGAAGGAGTGGGAGGAGGAGGAGGAGGAGGAGGAGGAGGAGGAGGAGGAGGGGAGGAGAGGAGGAGGAGGAGGAGGAGGAGAGGAGAGGAGGAGGAGGGAGGAGGAGGAGAGGGAGGAGGAGGAGGGAGGGAGGAGGGAGGAGGGGAGGGGGGGGGGGGGGGCTGGGGCAGGAGGCAATGGGGGGGGAGCAGGGCTGCGGGAGGCGGCCGCGCGAAACGGCGGGCCACCTTTTGCACGGTTATTTCAACAGCTTGTTGGGAGGAGTTAGTTGTTTGGGCTTTGCAACCCAATGGTTGCATGACAGAACGCACCCCCCATCGGCCATCCAGCGCAGCAGTGTCAAACGCCATGCTCGAAGCTTGAGCTGCTTAGCAGAATCATCCGCTCCATGTCGTGACGCCCAAGGGAACTGGAGAACAGACGGTCACGCTTCCACTTCAGCCGCCTACACGTCTGGCTCTTCGCGTAAGGCGCCAGATTCTCTAAAGATCGGAAGCCCTTCGTGATGCTGGGCGCGTCCCACCCATAGGGTAGGTCATCCCGAAGGGTGGCAGATTCAAGCACTCCAGGGTATAGTGCATCGGGTGGAGGTACACGAACGTTGGGGTACGTTCGCGACAGACTGCTGGACCCCTCAGTGGATCATGCCTCCGGCACAAGTACTGCGAATGGCAGCATCGCTTAATCGATTTTCTCCCCCACTGGACCAAGGTATCTCAGCTCCACCAGCCACCCCTCAAGGTGGGGATAGGCCCCGCGAGTCGCGAAGAGAACCGCACACATACCCATCTAGGCGGTAAACCGCTCAGTGGGGCCAATGTCAGGCCAGTGAGGATGGGGATCCGTTGAACGATGCTCAGATTTCGAACAAGAACAATTACAGCGTAAACAGAAACATTCGGAGCTCCTCGCGGATATCTTGGATCGGCACCGGAGGCGCCGCCAGGGGGGCCCCGCGTCCGATCCAAGAAATCCGCGCGGACCTCCGAGAGATTCTGTGTACGCTGTCTTCGGGGCTCAACGAAGCGATGCTCAGAGGAGGCCGCCGCGACCGATGCATCCTCCAGAACCGCCGGATCTCAAGGCTCCCCGTGTCCCGGTCCGATGTGTTGTCCCTGCCCCAGCGTTTGCCTGAGGCAAGCGATGCTCAGAGGCCCCAAAAAGTCCGCTCAACAGGGGCCCCTTCGGACCCCTCCAGGGCCCCTTTTGCTCCGTTTTTTCGAGGCGGATGCCGCGGCGGCGACGAGGAGCACCCGGGAGCCAGGAGGCTCAAAGAGGACGAGTCTTAGGTCGGGCCTGGTTCCCTACAGGCGGATTGTGTACGACAAGTAAAGAGTACGCCAAAAATGCACCAACATAGTCAAACAATGCCCAAAAAATCGTCCCCGGATTATTTTTGAATACTCCTCCTGTAGAGGGACAGGCCCTTTGTGGGCCCCGGAAACGGCAGGGCCGTTTTTTCACCGTTTCCAGAAAATGTCCTTTGAACATGGAAACAGCGAAAAAACGGCGACCGGAAACGGCACCAAAAACGGCTCCAGGATTGGAACCGGAGCTGGAACCGGTCAAAAAACGGCGACGGAATTGGTAACAAAAAAAAGGCGTTGGAACCTGCACAAAAACGGCAAAACGGAACCGGTAAAAAAACGGCCCTGTCTTTTCCAAGGTCCACTAAAGGCCCACTAAGCCAAGAGGCTCAGAGAGGACGAGCCCGACGATGAGCAGCCACGCCACGGCGCGCCGCGCCAGGTCCGCGAGCGGTTGCGGGGCGGCGCCGCCCCGCCCGCGGACCACGGCGCCGAGCTGGAGCAGCAGGTGCGCGCGGCGGCGACGCCCGCGGAGCGGGAGGAGCGCGCGGCGCGGCGCGGCGCGGCGCGGCGCGGCGCGTGACGACGACGACGACGACGACGACGACGACGACGACGACGACGACGACGACGACGACGACGACGACGACGACGACGACGACGACGACGACGACGACACGACGACGACGACGACGACGACGACGACGACGACGACGACGACGACGAACGACGACGACGACGACGACGACGACGACTGACGACGAACGACGAACGACGACGAACGACGACGACGACGACGACGACGACGACGACGACGACGACGACGACGACGACGACGTCGACGGCGACGGCGGCTGCGGCGGTGGCGGCGGCGGCGGCGACGATAGCGATTGCGACGGCGGCGGCACCGGCCGGCACCGGCGCGGCGACGACGATTGCGGCGATGGGGCATCGAGGACAGGTTTCTGGGCGGTTCGGGGCCTTTTTGCGCCTCCTGCTGGCTTCTCGTGGCCGCGGTTGAGCTTGCCTTGAACTCCTGGTCGGAACGCACCTCAGGTTCAGGGGAGGGGAGGCGACGACGGCGACGACCACGGCGGCGACGGCGGCGGCGACGACGACGACGGCGACGGCGTCGCCTGCGACGACGACGATGGCGACGGCGGTTGCGACAACGACAGCGGCGACGATGACGACGACGACGACGACGACGACGACGACGACGACGACGACGACGACGACGTTGACGACGACGTCGACGACGACGACGACGACGATTACGATGGCGACGAAGGCGACGATGGCGACGACGATGGCGACGACGGCGACGGCGCCTTTCGGTGCTTCGGTGGCCCCCGGGCGGGGGGGGGGATGAGGCCCTCGTGGCCGCGTGGCTGGGCGCAGCTGGCGTTGGGGCTGGCCTCGAGGGAGCGGGGGGGCGGCTTTGGACGGCCCGGGGCCCGTCGTCGCCCTCGGAGGGCCAAGAAAAATATGAGCTCCTCCTCCTCCATCCTCATCCTCATCTCCTCCTCCTCCTCCTCATCTCTCCTCCATCCTCCTCCTCCTCCTCCTCCCCCTCCTCCTCCCCTCCTCCTCCTCCTCCTCCTCCTCCTCCTCCTCCTCCTCCTCCTCCTCCTCCTCCTCCTCCTCCTCCTCCCCCTATTATGGTCGACGGTCCGCGCGGATTGCTTGGATCGGCGCTGGACCCCCTTGGCAGCGGCTACGGCGACGCCACTGGCGTTCAGTCGGGCCGGTCCCTCTACAGGAGGAGTATTCAACAATAGTCAAAAGAATAGTCTGGGGATGATTGTTGAGCATAAATACGTTTACGGTTGCTGTGTGGGCTACGGGGGGCGAGTGTTTGTTGGCCGCACTCGATCGCACGGCAGCTGTTCTGGCTTTGAGTGGGGCCCTCGAGGTGGGGCATGCTTCCTGGGGGCTCGCGCGCTCGCGCCCCCGCCGCGCTGCAGGCCCAGCGGCCTCGGATCTGCGGCTGGTGCGAGGGGCGGTTCGCCCCCGGCGAGGGCCTCGCATTGGCCGAGGCTGGAGGGCTTCTGGAAGCGGCTCGCGCTCGCCAGGCAAGCGGCGCGCGAGGCGCGGCTGGCGCCGCGCGAGCGGGCGCTGCTGATGAACCAGGCTCGCCACCTCGGAGCCCAGCTCGTGGCGCTCGCGACGCTCGAGCCCGATGCCTCCCAAGGCGAAGGGCAAGGCTAAGGCCAAGGGCAAGGCCAAAGCCAAGGCGGCCTCTGGCGGAGGCGGTCGCGGCCGCGGAGGGGGCGCTGCAGGTGCTCGCCGACGTGTGCGTGGACGCGCTGGAGCTGGGGGCTACTGGCGGAGGTGCGGCTGCTGGGGCTGCGCCAGGAACCGCACCTCCGCCAGCAGGCCCGGCGCCTTTGGCGCTGTGGCTGCGCCAGGCGGGCCCGACGCCTTTGGCGGAGCCACAGGCCCCCGCTGGGCGGCGCGGCAGGTGCCCCCGTGGTGCCAGGGTTCGGCGCCCTGCCTGAGCTCCCTGGCGGCTTCGGCGGCGTCGCGGGCGGCGCGCCACCTGCTCTGCCTGGCGGCACTGGCGCGGTGGGCGCTGGCGGCGTCGGCGTTGGGTCCGCGCTGGTGGGCGCGCTCGCTGCGGCTGGCGGCGGAGCTGCTGGTGGCGCGGGGCCCCGCCTGCTGCCACGGCGCTCGGAGCTGGCGCGGCCCACGGGGCCCACGCACGGCCTCATCCGCGAGGTCAACGCATTGGCGAGATGGGCCCGAGCAGCGCCGCTGACGATGCACTACGCACGCCGTTCAGGCGACGCGCGGCTTAGCTAGAGATTCAGAGCGACGCTGCCTTCCGAAAAGAAGAGAATTAGAGCGTCGATGCAGGGCGAGCCCTCCACGGGGCCACCTCCCTCCGCATGGGCCGCGTTAGCGGAGCTGGGCGCCACCACTTCGTCGGCTGACAATTTGGCCACCGATTCGGCTGGCAGCGCGGCGCAGTCAAGACGGTGACGCGAAGCACCTTCACAATCGAGTTGGTGGCCGCGATCACTTCCGCGGATCACGTCTTGGCCCTAGCTGCAACATCCCATGAGGTGCTCAACGAGATGTCGCAGGTTTTCGGACCTTCTGTCCGCAGCTTGGAGCCCACAGACACAAGCGCGACGTGACGCTGGGCGGTAACGCCCCACCCGCGCGAGCTGCGCCCAGTGCTGTTCGCAATGGCGCGGGTGAGCTCCCGAGCGCATTCTGCGAGTTCGCCATCCGCCCAGCCCGGTGCCCTCCAAATGGCGGCCGTGCATTTTGGATGGGTTGGGAAGGCGCGCGATGGACAGTGGTTTCCTCTCTTCCCGGTTCATTGATCCGCCGGAGCTGTTCGATCGCCCGCGCAATCCCGACTCAAATAGGATGCCGCGTCGCCGTTTGGCTCAGCGCTGGCGAGTGCCAGCGCGCATCTGTGAGATGGAACAGAGCTTCGCCAACACAGCGTCACCGCCACGTCAACCTTTTCGCCCCCGTTGCCCCCCGCAGTTCTAGATCCTCTTCGTCCTTTTCGTTCCCTTCGTCGTCGTCGACCTCCCCCCCTCCTCGTAGTCCTCATCATCATCGCCATAATCATCACCATCTTCGTCATCATTCGCGTCCTTTGCCTTCTCGTCCTCCTGCTCCTCTTCCCGTTCCTCTTTGGCTTTCTGTTTCTCGTCTTCGTTCTCCTCCTCTACCTCCTCATCGTCCTCGTTCTCCCCCTCCTCCTTCCTCATTTACCGTCGTTCGTGAGGCGGGTGCAACCTCGGGTTCAGTTCGAGCCGCGTCCGCAGGGAGTGCTCCGTGAGGCCGCGTCCGCGCTTGCTGGCTCGAAGAGGCGCCCCCGCCTCGCGGCCCCGAGTAGGGCCACGGCGGTCCCTCCCACCACGGCGCTCCCGTCCGACGGGCTCGCGCCGCCCGAGGCCGCCAGGGGCCACCTTCTGTACGGGGCGGGGGAGATCATAGGCTGCACGGAATGCGGCTCGTTCTCAAAGGAAGCCGCCCGTTGCCAGTTGGTTGGTGCCTGCGTCCCGCAGGCCCTCTGGGGCAACCCCCAGCGGAGGTGGCGCAGAGATAACTTCGCTTCGGGTCGTCACCTCAGTGACGGCCGAGAACACCCCATCAAAAATGCCCCGTAGGCTCCTGGTTTCAGACCATGCGGTACAGTGGCTGGGATTGCATCGGAATTTAACATAAGTATCTCTGTTCAATTCGTTCGGTTTCATCTGCCTCGAGGGGCTGGTGTTTGATCGTCCCTCCGGGCCTTCACGTCTTGTCTGGTCATGGGTGCCCTGCCCAGATGTGATGGAACGCCTCGCTGCCGTGATGCTTCGATTGGGCTTTTCGCGTGTTGCTCCATCCTTTTTTATGCGATTGATGTCGCCTCTCTTCCGACCCCACTGCTCTTTTAAGGCCCCGAATCCAAAGTCGGCGCGTCTTTCCATGTACTCGCTGCTTCCTCATGTACCCTCTCCACCTTCTCCTCCATTCCTCTTCCTTATGAGTAATGTATCCCTGTCGCGCGCCGAGCTCGAAAAGGCGGGTTGGGGGGTTCGCCTGAGACTTCCTCACCACCTATGACCCAGAAGCTTGAAGTGAACACAATTTTACATATGAGAGGCAGGCCGTTTTCAAAGTGAGGTTTTCGCCAAAGCGCCGCGCGCAATCTTTTTTCTAGAAATTAACCAGGGCCTCACGGATTCAGGCGGCACGTTTGCAACATGCGGTTCTTCTTTCAACGCCGCGCACATTCGTTAAAACAATTTGCAGGAGGTTCACGGATTGAAGGCGGTTCGTTTTCAACAGGTCGTTCTCGCTTTTGCCCGCCGCGCACATTCGATTCAAGAATTTGCAAGCGTTTCACGGATTGAGCGAGGCTTGTTTTCAAAATGTGGTTGTCGTCTTAGCGCCGCGCATTTTTTAAATTATTTGAAAAGTTTGACGGGTTCCACGAAGGCCCAACAGTTAGGTTGATTCGTGGTGTTGAAGTCCCAGGAAACGGCGTTCTGGCACGATGCAGGACCGCCAAGCCGCAACAGACAGGTTCATCCTTGGCGTTGGAGTCCTGGAAATCATGTTATGGCATGATTCAGGGCCTTCCAACGGTTGTTTTCCAACGAGGGAGTGCGCTCTGTGGAAGTGAACCTTTTGTAGGGGCCTATGAAGAGGGATCTTGGAGGGAGGGTTTATGCCAACATCGTTGATCACTCTTCCTTCTCCTTACGATGTTCATTATCCTTCTCCTTCTCCCCGCCTCCTCCGCCTCCTCCTCCTCCTCTTCCTCCTCCTCCTCCTCCTCCTCGTCATCATAATCCTCATCCTCTTCCTGTTGTTTTCCTCCTCTTCTTCATTCTCATCCTCCTCCTTCTCCTCCTCCACGTCCTTTTCCGCCTCTTCCTCCACCTCCCGATCCTCCGCGTGCCCCCATTCGTCCTCCTCGCTCTCCTGTCCCTCCGCCACAGTTCTGTGCGCGCGGCCTTCGCGGGCGCGCGCGGGGAAGAGTAGCCGCCTCGGTGGTCTCTCGCCTTGGCAAACAGAAAATTTGAGAGTGTCCGCGCATCTTGGCCCCCAGTGCCCCCGCGCAGCCGAGGAGATCAGCCACGCTTGGGCCGCTCGCCTCGCGCACCGGGGCGGCGACCCAGCGCTGCGGCGGGCGCTGCTCCGCACCGGCGCCTGCGAGGCTCTGGCTGCCGCCGTCGTCGTTGGCGTCTCCGCCGCCGGCGCCTTCGCCGCCGCCGCCGCGGCCGCCGAGGCTCAAAGGTGACAGAACGCCGTAAGCATAACCCTCCTGACGAACCGACAACACACACACACACCCATGCCCATAGAGGGATCGGAGAGGGCTATGGGTGCGTGTTGTCGGGTGGGGGTCCCCGCTCGCACGGGAGCGTCCCCCAGGGTCCGACAACCCGCGCCCATACCCATAGCCGGTCCTCCTCCCAACGACCTCCCCATGGGTATGGGTGTGTGTTGTTCGTTCGTCACTTCTGGGGCGCCGCGCAGACTTCTCGCATCAGTGCCAGGCGCCCCAGCGGCGCCGCTGGCGCCGCCCCTGGCGCGCGGATCGCGCCGCGGAGGGCGCAGCGCAGATGCAATCCGCGCGGAACTCCGAAAGTACGTGCGTGCGTGCGTGCGTGCGTGTGTGTTGTGTGTTGTGTGTTGTGTGTGTTGTGTGTGTGTGTGTGTGTTGTGTGCTGTGTGTTGTGTGTGTTGTTTGTGTTGTGTGTTTCGTGGTGAGTGTAATAGACGTGTTGAGTGTTGTGTGCTATATGTTGTGTGTTGCATGCTGTGTAGTGTGTGTGTTGTGTGGGTTGTGTGGCTTGTGTGGGTTGATTGTGTGTGTTGTATGTTGCGTGTGTTGTGTATGTAGTGTCTGTGTTGTGTGTGTTGTGGTTGTGGTGTGTATTGTGTGTTACGGGGTTGTGTTGTGTGTTGTGTGTTGTGTGTTGGTGTTGATGTTGTTGTGTGTGTTTGTGTGTGTTGTGTTTGTCTGTGTGCTGTGTGTGTTCTGTGTGTTGTGTATGCCCTACGTTTTCAGATCATGTGCGAAAGCGTGCTACCACCCGGCCACAGCTGTCGACAGACTGGCTGCTGAGCTGCAGACCGCAGGAGCCGCCCTCATGCGTATGCCGCCAAGCGCCGGACCGCGAGGAGGTGCGGGGGCCCGCGCTTCTGGGCTTGCGTAGCATTGCCCTCCTGGCCGTCGCAGAACAGCCGTGATCGTTTTCGCAACTGGGACTGGTGCTCCTGGGAGGCTCTGGCCGGCCTGGCGGTCCTGTGCGCGTGTGTGTGTGTTGTAATTGCTTGCAGCGCTGCTTTCCCATTGCTAGCCAGATGGTGCACAAGTCTGTCTTTCAAGCAGTGGCGAAGCGTCCCGGCTCGCCTATAGCCCTACCAAAGAATGTTCTGAGAACCTTTTGCGGATTCCACGAAATGTTCTTAGAACAGTTCTGGCTGGGATTGCCTTGTTTTAACACGTCGGGTTTATGTTCTAAGAACCTTGTTTTTGTTATTCGAACCTTTTTGGGTTCTAAGAGCATCTCGTGGTAGGACTATCAGGAATGCCGGGAGGGTCGGTCCCTAAGTCTTACAGTGAGCGGCTTGAATAAGGAACACTTTCTTTTCAAAAGGGGCTCGGTCGTTCCTTAGGCTTACATGCGTTATTTACAGTTCCTTATGCGTTATGTATTATTTATCTTTACTTATGCGTTATTCCTTGGGATAAAAAGGGACTTCGTTCCTTATTTATCGTTCCTCAGGTCAGGCCGATGACTGTAATTCTCGGCGCGCCTCTCCAGCTCAGGCTTCCACTCCGCCCCCCGGTGCGGGGCATCCGCCGCCCGCCCACGAGGCGTTGCTGGAGGCGGCGGCCCTGGACCACAGGCCGCCGTCCGCGCCAGCCTCGCCGCCGCGGTCGTCGCCACCGCCGCCGCCGCCGCCGCCGCCGTCACCGCCGCCGCTGCCGCCGCCGTCGTCGTGCGCCCCCCGACGACGACGACGACGACGACGACGACGACGACGACGACGACGACGACGACGACGACGACGACGACGACGACGACGACGACGCAACGACGACGAAGCAACGACGACGACGCAACGACGACGACGCAACGACGACGACGCAACGACGACGACGACGACGACGGCGACGGCGACGGCGGCGGCGGCGGCGGCGACGGCGGCGGCGGCGGCGACGACGACGGCCACGGCGACAGAGGCGCGGGCGGCAGGGCGCGGATCAGCGAGCTGGCGGGCCAGCGGGTCGGACGTTGCCCGCCGCCCGATCAGCTCTTCCGTCGCCTCGGCCCCCCCCCCCTCCCAGCCTGGGGCAGAGCGCGGCAGTCCCGGGGCCCGCCTGGCGCCGTGCACAGGCTTCCGGCGACGGCGAGGGTCTTTCGCTCGCCTTGGCGGCGGAGGGGGGCGTTCCCCACCCAGACGTGCTGCCGTCGCGGCGTCGTGAAAGAACAGGCCGGGGCGTCGGGGCGTCGGGGCGTCGTAATGTCATGGAGTCGTGGCGTCGTGGCGTCGTCGGACCGTCGAAAGCAGCCCGAGGGAGAAACACGGCCTTTGGGGAAGGGGTCGGGCTTTCTGAAGGACCGCGCGCTGACAAAGCCAAGACGTCGCATCGGGTGTTGCTAGCAGAGCCCGTGGCCCAGGGTGCCCCCAGGAGCCCACAGGAGGCCCCCGCGGCCTCCAGAGCGCCCCTCGCGAGGCCCGGAGGGCCGCAGTGGCCCCCCGGTGGAACGAAACGTTGGGGGCACCCTGGGCCAGGGGCACTTTCAGCAGCGCCAGATCGCATGTCTGCGTGCAAGTCGCCTGCGGGGGCGCGAAGAGGATCGCGCTTCGCGCATCGCGGCTTGGGCCAGCGAGCCAGCGAGACGCGCTTCTCCAGGGTGGCGGCGCGGGGGCGCGAGGACAACTGCGCGCTGCGCTTCGCGGGGCGCGGGAGCGCGCAGTGGGCCCACGTTGGGCCCCAAAGACCAGGAGTACAGTCCTCGCAGGTTCACCAGAGGAGATCTCCTCCTCCTCCTGCTCCTCCTCCTCCTCATCATCCTCCTCCTCCTCGGGACACCTAGTCGGGGCTGTGCTGGGATAGGCTTTTTCGACGTCTGCCTCTGGCCCGTCAAGCGGTGGAGTGCATAGGCGAGCCCCCAAGGTGTCCCCAATCGGGGGTCTCGCTTTTGCCAGAGCTCTCCCCCCGCAGGGCCCCACAGACCATCGAGCCTCTTGAGTGGCTCTCGAACGCCTGGTCCGCCCATCTTCCTGTTTTCGGGTGCCCTGGCTGCGTCGTTCGTTAGAGGTGCATCATCGGACAGTTGATGCTGCTCTGCTCCAGCTCCAGCTCCAGCTCCTCCTCCTCCTCCTCCTCCTCCTCCTCCTCCTCCTCCTCCTCCTCCTCCTCCTCCTCCTCCTCCTCCTCCTCCTCCTCTTAAAAAATGCACTGCCACCAGCTAGGGGGGGCCGGCCGCTCCACCCCCCGAGCTGGCGGCGCCCCGTCCCGGACGCGCCCGCGGAGAGTGCCCAGAACGGCGGGCCGCCAGCTCGGGGGGGTGGCCTGGGGGAGCGGAGCTGCATGGAGCTCTTCGGGGGCGGAAAAGCGGGGGGTGATGACTAGGGGGTGGTGGAGGAGGAGGAGAGAGAGGAGGAGGAGGAGGAGAGGAGGAGGAGGAGGAGAGGAGGGAGAGGAGGAAGGAGGAGGAGGAGGGAGAGAGGAGGAGGGAGAGGGGGGAGGGGAGGAGAGAGGATAGGAGGAGGAGGAGGAGGGGAGCTCGGGGGCAGAAAAGAGGGGGGTGATGACTAGGGGGGGTGGATATCTTTGCGGGGGCCATGATATTTCCCCAGATTCCCTGGCGCCTCTTCTTATTTCATTACGTCCCTGCCCCCCCCGCTGGGCCGCGCACATGCCGCCGGGCATGATTTGCACCCCCCCCTCCTGGACACCCCCCTCTTGGCCGCTCCCGAGTTCTGGTGGTGGTGGCTCTGTTTGCTTTCACGACAGATCGGGTCCGAGCAGATGGGGTCGGAGGATCGCGCCGCATCGCCGGTGCATGGACGGTGCGTCGCTGACGCGTCGTCGATGCATCGGCGACGTTGGCGATGCATCGGCGACGTCGGCGAGGAGGAAGTCGGGCTCCACACCGAGCCGCATCGCCGGTGCATCGGCGGTGCGGCGCGATCCTCCGACCCCATCCAGGAGGCCTCTGATGAGGTAGCTGCCCAGATCCAAAGACCGCGAGAAGTCTCCGCCCTGAGTTTGCATTTCGAGCCGCCCCGGGTCATGGGGCCAGATCGGGCGGTTGTTGCCGTTCGTTTGTCCTCGCCACCGCTCTTCTCCAGCCGGGCGGATCTGGGAGGATGACGGGGAGGGGGGTACTAATCGAAAAAGAAGAACGCCATAAACATAAACGTTTGGCGCTCTGCGCGAATTTCTTGGATCTGCACTGGGCCCCCCCAGCGGCGCCGCCGGCGCCGCACCTGGCGAGAAATCCGCGCGGAGCGCCACAAGTTTATGATGATGGCGTTGTTTCTTCTTCGTTTAGTGTTTCACACGTGTCTGAATCCCTCGTGGTCATTGCCGATGCCGTCCATTCCATGGCCCATTTGCTCAAGTCTTTTTCCAGGGGCATGAAGGAAGCCCCCCGCCCTTTCATCGAGGCAGGCGCCGCGAGCGCGCGAGAGATAGCGCGGGCGGGCTTCCACGGCCGCCTGTGGCCGCAACGCCGGCGCGGGTCGCATGGACACGATGGCCATGGTGGCCCGCGCGCCAGCGGCGCGTTTGATTTCGGGCTGCCGGGTGATGGTCCGCTACGCCGGGGACGATTTGTGGCACGAGCGGATGCTGTTGTACCCCACAGCGACTGAAGCGGGCGACGGCGCTATCTCGGGCGCCTGTTGGGTGGTGTACACCCCTGACCACGACATGTACATCGAGGAGCTCGAGGGCGGCTCGCCCGACGACAGCCTGGTGGAGTGGCTGGAGGTGCCACGAGATCGGCGGCTGCCCGCTGGCCTCCGAGAGAGCTACCGCTTCGAGGACGATTTCACGGAGGTCGGACTTCGCGGGCTCTTTTGTCGGGCCTACGCGGCGGCGCTGGCGGACGCGGAGTCGCGCGGGGTGCTGATCGAGGCGCCAGAGGCGGTGAGGACGATCCAGGGCCGCGACATGCCCGTCACGGAGGCCTTGGGTGCTGTTTTGTTTGGCGGTCGGCGCGTGGTTGGCAAGAGGTCTCCTTCGGCAGTGGCGGCGCGGGCTGGCGGCGGTGGGGCAGCCCATCCTGGGCCAGGCGGCGGCGGTGGTGAGGCAGACAACGGCGCCGTCGTGGGCCACTGCGGAGTTGGCCGCACCTCGACCCTTCGGTCGAGCGGGCTGATCTGGCGCGCGGCGGAGGCGGACGACATCAATGGCATCTCCCTCGGCGATGAGGTAGGACAGCCTTGCCTGGACACGTGCGGCACGGGCATGTACTTGGCGGGCCCAGGTCGCGCGGTGGTGGCGCACCTCACGGGCTTGGACCAGGCCTCGTTCGTTGCGGGGCTGCGCGGCGGCTTCGGCGGCGCGCGGGCGGCTCCCCGGGAGGGCGCAGGAGGCGATGCGCGCGCGCTCGCTGTTCGCAGCGGAGCGCGCGGCCGAGGCCGCGAGTGGCGCAACAATGTGGACGCCTGCGAGGATCTGTTCGGAGACTTCCCGGTGGCGGGGCCGCGGTCTGCGTCTTGGCACCTTGACTTCTCGCGGCGACGCCACGCGCCGACCGACCACCACTTAATGTTCAAGACCACGGCTCGGCTCCAGGCTGAGCAGCGGGGGGTGCAGGAGCACGAGCAGCTCATGAAGTACATGGAGTTGGCTGGGACCTACGACCAGCTCGACCTGAGCAACTGCGCCTTTGCGGAGGCGGTCTTCCGCCGGGCTCAAACGATCGAGTGGTGCTACCACGACCGCTTGCGCGAGGCCGACTCTGCGAGCTCCATAGACAAGATGAGTCCGGATGAATTCTCGGCTTTCAGCGGTTTCAGCAAGGCTGGCGACTTGTTGATGGTGGCGCCCGCTCTCCTCGAGTTCGCCATGGGCCAGGTCGAGAGGGATGCCGCGATCATGAATAGCATCCGGAAGGCTCGAGAGAGGAGAGAGAACTCCGTCGCCAGAAGCACCCGAAGGGCGAGGGCGGCGGAGGCACAGGATGACGATGACGCGGGGGGGAGGGAATCATGCGGCCGCCTCCTCTCTGGACATTCAGGCCGCCGAGCTATCGGGTACCCCTGCATGTTTCCCTGGGCGAATCCAAGTCGACGAAGTTCCCGACCGTCGCGATCTCTTTCCTGTCCCGATGCTGCGGGACGAGGTCGCCCCGGCCGCTGGCGCGGCGCGCCGCTCGGTGCGACGGCGGCTGCTGAGGCGCGACGCCCTGACTGCCGAGTCCAACCGCGTGATCGAGGCCCTCAATGATCTGGCTGGAAGGCCTCGGGCAGGTGGTGTCCGGGGCCTGGCGGAGCGGCTTCCCCATCGGCTGGTGCACGATCGCGTTCGACGTGATGTTGCTGGCCTGGACCCCCCGCCGCTTGGCCTCAATCCCGCCGGAGTGACGTCACCTGAGGGATCTGCCCCCCGAAGGCCTGTGGAGGCCCCCTAAAGGAAAATGGGGGAAAAAACGCGGATCGGAAATCCAGCTTCTCTGTCCCACTGGAGGCCCGAAAGGGGCCATCACGCGTCCAAAACCATCGTTGTCCTCGTCGCCGTCGCCCGCGTCGTCTTCGTCTTCGTCGTCGTCCTCGCCGTCCACATCGTCTTCCTCCTCGTCCTCGTCGTCCTCGCCCCGTCGGCCTCGCTGGCCTCGGCGGCCCCGCCCCCCCCAGCCGGGAGGATGGAGCAGGGGGGGAGGGGGGAGGGCAGAGGAGGGAAGCATAAGCAGGAAGGAAGAGAAGGAAGAGGAGGAGGAGGAGGAGGAGGAGGAGGAGGAAGAGGAGGAGGAGGAGGAAGGGGAGGAGGAGGAGGAGGAGGAGGAAGGGGGAGGAGGACGACGAAGAGGAGGAGGGGCACTTCGAGCACTTGCGCAACACAACGTCCTCCCACGGGGGCACCGCTCGGCGGCGGCGCCCGCTCCCCGCGGCGCGCTCTGCCGCCCCTTTTGCGCCGCAGGCCCGGAGCCGTCGGGGGCCTTCGGATGCTGCTGACGCAGGCCGCCTCACCGCGCCTCGCCGCTCCGGGGGGGAGGGATGCCCACAGGGGGGGGGGGGGGTAGTCAGGAGGAGGAGGAGGAGGAGGAGGAGGAGGAGGAAGGAAGGAGGAGGAGAGGAGGAGGAAGGAGGAGGGGGAGGGGGGGGGAGGAGGAGGGAAGAAGGGAGGAGGAGGAGGAAGAGGAGGAGGAGGAGGAGGAGGAAGAGGAGGAGGAGGATGCTCCAGGGGGAGGGTTGCTGGCGGCGCCCGCAAAAGAAGATAGTCTTACGTCGGGCGTGTCTTCACGGGTCGAAGATTCCAAAATAGTTAAACATTCATCCTGGCGAAGGACCCAACCATATGCAGTTGTGGGTACCGCAATTGTGAATACCTTCTTCGGCGAAGCCTCCTTTTATGGGGCCACGAAGCGCTGCACTGGGTGGGGAGGAACGCATTCGGGCGGTAGCAGTGGGGCCGTCGGTGGAGCCCCCTTATGGGGCCACGAAGCGCTGTATTGGTTGGGTGAAAGTGCCAAATTGAGTGTGTGGGACACATGCGGACGGTCCCGCTGGGGGTTTCGGTGGAGCTCCCTATCGGGCCACGGAACGCAGCACTGGGTGGGTGAAAATGCCCAAATTGGGATTCCGACGCGCACGCGGACGGTCCCATTGGGAGTTTCGGTGGAGCTCCCTATGGGGCCACGAAGCGCTGTATTGGGTGGGTGGAAATGCCAAATTGGGTGTGTGAAACACATGCGGACGGTCCCACTGGGGGCTTCGGTGGAGTTCCCTATAAGGCCACGGAACGCAGCACTGGGTATGTGAAAATGCCCAAATTGGGCTTCCGACGCGCATGCGGACGGTCCCATTGGGAACTTCGGCCTATGGGGCCACGAAACGCTGTATTGGGTTTATGAAAATGCCAAATTGGTTACAGGGACGCATGTGGGCGGTCCAAGTGGGGGTTTCGGTGGAGCTCCTACTGGGGCCACCACAAGTTTGTGAAACTGCCAAATTGCGTTTGCGGGACGCATGCGGACGGTCCCACTGGGGGTGTCGTTGGAGCTTCCTACGGGGCCACGAAACGCTGTATTTGGTTAGTGAAACTGCCACATTGGGTGTGTGGGACGCATGTGCGCGGTCCCACTGGGGGGCGTCGGTGGAGCTCCCGGTTGGGGCCACGAAGCGTTGTATAGGGTGGGTGCAAAATGTCAAATTGCGCGTGCGGGACGCATGCGGGCGGTGGGGGGAAATGCCAAATTGGGTGTGCGGGACGCACGCGGACGGCCCCACTGGCCACGAAACGCTGTATTGGGTGTGGCGGACGCATGTGGTTCCCCCCCCCGTCGGGCGCTAGGTAGAGCTCCGTATGGTGCCACGGAGCGCCGTGTTGGGCGTGGCGGACGCATGTGGTCCCCCCCTTGGGCTTTAGGTGGGGTTCCCTATAAAGCCACGGAACGCCGTAGTGGGTGTGGCGGACGCATCTGGTTCCCTTTTTTTTTCTGGGGCCGTAGGTGGAGTATTGGGTGTGGCGGACGGACATGCGGTACCCCCTCCTTTGGGGGCCTTAGACGGAGCTCCTTATGGGGCCGTGAAGCGCCGTACTGGGTGTGGCAGACGCATGTGGTACCCCCCCCCCCCTGGGGCGTTAGGTGGAGCTCCCTATGGGGCCACGAAACGCCGCACTGGGTGTGGCGGACGCATGTGGTACCCCCCCCCCCCAGGGGTTTCAGGTGGAGCTCCCTATGGGGCCACGAAGCGCCGTACTGGGTGCGGCGGACGCATGGTACCCCCCCTTCTGGGGCCTTAGGTGGAGCTCCCCATGGAGCCACGAAACGCCGCACTGGCTGTGGCAGACGCATGCGGTACCCCCCCTTTGGGGGCCTTAGGTGGAGCTCCCTATGGGGCCACGAAACGCTGTATTGGGTGAAATGGGAGAAGCGCGTGGAGGAGGGAGGAGGGGGGAGGAGGAGTGAGGGAGACGCGGGCCGCTGTCTCTTCAAAACGAGGACCCAACACCACAGGACGGTTGGGAAAAATAGCCTGGGGACGATTGTTCGACTATGCTTGACTATTTCTGAATCTGGTTTAACTATCTTTTATTGGTCTTCCAACATTCGCCTGTAGGAGGACATGCCCGACCTGAGGGCAGTCAGACGAGGAAAAGGTACACATGAACTCTCCCCTCGTTTTCCCCTCTTTGGGCCTCCTTGGAGGCCCTCGTCACCACCGCTGGAGTCGCCTCGAAATCTTGGTCAGAGCGAGCCCCGGGAGAGGTCCAGGGGGCAGCAGTATCGGTACCCTTTGGTTTCCCGAGGTAGCGCAAGAAGAGGGGGCGTGGGGGGGGGTTCTGAGGAGAGGAGGCGGGGAAGGCCGAGGGGCTTTCAGTAAAAGCCCGCCTAGTTCTCCTCCTCGGGGTTAGGCTGGCGGCGCAGGCACCGGAACGCCTGGCGCGGCCGCGGCGTGTCCGGCTCATGCGAGGCCTGCTTCAGAAGGCACGCTGACGTGGCTGAGGCCGCAGGCGCCCTGGGGCGTGCCTCGAGGCATGCGAGTCCACGGCGTGAGAGGCAGCGGGGAGGCCGGACGCCCACGCGACATCTCTGGGGGATCGAAAGGGGTCTTGGTATCGCCCCGACGTGTGCACTTTTTCCCGGCGGGGATGATCAAGGAGCATCCTGGGCCATCCTGCGAAAACAACCACGCACGGAACCGAAAGAGGCACAGAGAATGGACGTCCGACGTCCGAGCGATGGCCAGGGGGACGGAAAGAATGGGCACGCAGACTAGCAGCAAATCCTCGCCCGTTCTGAGCAGGAATCGCTATCGGCATCCCTGCGGACGCCCTCCGCTCGAGACGGAGGGTCACCTGCCCAGCAGCGCCCACGGTCGCTTCTGGACAGCACTGGGGCCCCGCACCCGTGTCCCTTCCGTTCCCCTCTCGGAGGGGGGGGAGGAGGAGAAAAGGAGGAGGAGGAGGAGGAGGAGGAGGATTAGGAGGGAGGAGGACGAGGACGAGAACGAGGAGGAGGAGGAGGAGGAGGAGAAGGAGGA